TTTTTAGTGAGGAGTTAGAAAAATGTCTAGGCCCACAGCCGGATAAGTGTTGTAGTTCTGAGAATGTTTTGTTTTTTTTAATTTTCTAGTACTTAATATCTCTCTTTAAAAGAAAACAAACAGCAAGCAGACAATTCTTTATGGCTACAAATGGCTCCATTAAACGCATATTTTACATGCTCTACACAGTCAATCAATAAATAAAATATATATGGCATACTAACATGGTAAACATTCAGCACATACGTAATTTTTCTGGCTGCCCAGGACCCAACCCCCACTGTTGGAAATTCAATATTGCATGGTTTTTGACAGAAGGAAATTAAAAGGCTAAAATACTGGTTGTCTCAGACACTGGGCAATGAAGTAGCAAGCATATTACCTGAGTATAGAAGGCCCAACCAGGAGCTCCTCACTCAGGACGGGGTTGCAGCATGTCCAACCTGTGGCTCATGCAGACTCCGTGAGGCCAGTTTCACTTGTCTGTGCTGTTGGACGTCGCAAAGTCCGCGTGGACCTTTTCTTTTGCTCATCAGTTTTCGGTTAATGTATGCAGGATTTTTGTTTGTTTTTTGAGACAGAGTCTCACTCTGATGTTCTGGCTAGAGTGCCACAGCATCATAGCTCAAACTCCTAGGGTCAAGTGATTCTCCTGCCTCAGCCTCCCGAGTACCTGGGACTTCAGGTACCTGCCACAACACTGGCTAGTTTTAGAGACGGGTCTTACCCGTGCTCATGTGATCCATTGGCCCTGGCCTCCCAGAATGCTAGGATTACAGGCATGAGCCACCGTGCCCAGCCCCAATGTTTGTGATTTTAATGTGTAGCCCAAGAAAACTTTTTCTAATGTGTATGTAGCAGGAAAAAGAAAAAAAAAGGTTGGACATCCCTGGTTACAGTTTCTACAAATGCTGAACAGTCTCATACCATCAGAAAGTTGAAAAATCCCAAATTAAACCATTTAAGTCTCAGACTTGCTCTGTTCCCAGCGTGAAGTGCATTTTCTACTTAGGGTAGGTTTATGATGATGTAACCCTGGTGTAGGGCAGGACACATCTGTGATGGTGCATGTTCCAGGCTGGCACTCTAACCAAGTTCTTCTCACCATCTGACCTTAGCTGTGTTCCTGGCTGGCTCCACTCCTGGCTCCACCATTTTCTGAGCCTGGTCTTCCAGTCTTCCTATTGATTCTGTAAACTAAGTAAAAATCCTTCTAGAGCTGGTTTCTTTTCCTTGGAAGCAAGAAAATGACGACCAAACAGTAGCTACTGGAAACTATATAACTTATATAACACAGAAGGCACAGGATCTAGGGGAAAATACCTGAATCCATAGCCGGGAAAGCACGCTGACGTACTCTGAGAGTCCTCTCAGGTTTAATCTTTTGCTGCCTTTCCAGGAATTTTTGGCACGGAAGTATTCCCTAACTCTACACATAAATATTCCTAGGCTTAATTCTCATCTTTCATTTTTAATATCACATTTTCAAAGAGCTGTCATAATGTAGTATGAGCTACTCAAGACTAAAAGTGCTTTAAATTTGCCACTAACACTGTAGAAAACAAATTGCTGGACTATTTATTAAGGTCTTAAGTCCAAAAGTCTATAAAACAAAACACAGTCTCATCCATAAGAAAAGGAAAATTATCTGAGTTTCATTTGCCATATGGAAATAACAGTCCACCTATATCACAGCATTCATAGAGGATCAAATTAAATCACTTATGAACATGTTAAAAGAATGTTTTAGTTCATTTTCTGCCAAGGACTGAGTAATTTATAATAAAAAGTTCCTTTGGCTCACATTCTGGAGGCTGGGGAGTCCAAGAGCATGGCGCTGATATGCAGTGAGGGTCCTCACCTGGCTGAAGGCACAGCAAGGTGAGAGGCAGGGCAGGAGCGTGCTAGAGAGGCTGAGCTCATTCTTTCAGGAACCCTGTTCCTATGATAACAGCATTAATTACCTCTCAGAGGCTCCACTTCCTAATACTGTTACAGTGGCAATTGAATCTCAACATTAATTTTAGAGGGAGTACGCAAAACCATAGCAGAGAATTTTTATTTGAAGGTACATACCGTATTTCAACAAATCTTAGATACATTCATGGTATGACATATCATTAGTTTATAAACCACTAAGAAAAACATGGCCAATTTAAAACCACAATACATGTTTTTTTTTTTTGCAGTTTTTTAGTTGGGGCCGGGTTTGAACCCGCCACCTCTGGCATATGGGGCCAGTGCCCTGCTCCTTGAGCCACAGGTGTCACCCCAATACATGCTTTCTTATCCAACTCTTTTAACACCCAGTAAAAGAGCTCTCGTATACTTAATAGACACGGGATGTTACATTTAATTCTTGTGTAAATATTAAGAGGAAAATATGACATTAATTGGTTCAGGTATTCTTAAATTTCTCATGCAGTATAACATTCTTGAACCATTTTTCCACACAATAATCTTATCTGTGCCAAGAATACTGCTGATATAGCATTTGTTAGTATCCCAAAAATAATCACCAAAGGACATACCAATCAAACCATAAATTGAGACTGTCTTCTGGATACTCTGGGCTCCTCATTGCCAAGGAAACCATCAGGTAAAGAAGGGGGTTAACTGCACTGGTCAGAGTTACTGAACTTGTCCATTAAGGAGAAAATGACGTCCTATGGCCCAAGAAGGGTAAGGAGGAATATACTTGGAATACAAGAGATCTCTTGTGGTAATATTTTATAATTATTGTTTTAGTCCATTTGTGTTATTATAAAGGAATTCCCATTGCTGGGTAATTTACAAAGAGGTTTATTTGGCTCACGGTCTGCAGGCTGTAGGAGAAGCAGGGAGCCAGCATCCGCTCCTGATGAGGGCCTCAGGCAGCCTCCACTCCCAGGACAGCAAGGGGAGCAGGCACGTGCAGAGCCCACAGTGAGAGAAGCAAGAGAGGGAGGGCCAAGATGCCATGATCTTTTTAATGACCAGTTACCATGGGAACTAACAGAGTGACCACTCACTCATTGCTCTAAGGACAGCACCAAGCCACTCATGTGGGATCCATTCCCATGACCCTAATACCTTCCATTAAGCCCCCACCTTCAACACTGGGAATCAAATTTCAACATGAGGTTTGCAGGGTCAAATAACCAAACTGTAGCAATTCTGCTTCACTCTTTGCTCATTTATAAAACGTACAGGATTCTGTTGTGCAGGAGAAACTCAGAACACATGTGACCAGAAGTTTGATAAGACCAACAGGGCTGCATGTTTGAGATCAGTGGTGTGCATGTGACTGTTTTTACTCATGCCTTATGTGCATATTAAACAGGTAGGGGTCTCCCTTGGTTGGATTCAAAGCCTGGGCTCAAGCCATTCTCCAACTTCAGCGTCCCCAGTAGTTGGGACTACAGGGGCATGCAACTGAGCACAGCTATGCCTTAAATAATATATTCTTTTGTACCAATGAGGGTAAGAACGGGAATAAATACAGAGATGTGGATGCTATTAGCTCACTGATGTCTGAAGTTGTGAGAATGCATAAATCAAAAAGGAGATAACTGAAATTTAAACCTCACAAATGGTGTTTATTGCAGCTCAATTCACAACTGCCAAGAGGTGGAAGCAACCCCAGTGCCCATCAACCCATGAATGGATTAACAAACTGTGGCATATGTATACCATGGAGTACTATTAAGCCATAAGGAAAGATGGAGACCACTTTTTTGTGTTTACCCAGATGGAGTTGAAATACACTCTTCTTAAATAAAGTATCTCAGGAATGGAAAAACAGGTATCCAATGTACTCAATACTAATATGAAACCAATATATAACAACTACATGCCCACAGGAGAAAAAAACACATACAAGTATATTCTAGTGAAGGGTGGGAGAAAAGGGTGCGGCGGATGACTGGCAGGATCTCACCTAACGCAGGCGTTCAGCACACTCCCCTGGGGGAAGGCTCCACTACAACTTAAACTTTACCTTAGAAAGAGCAACAACGTAACCGAAACATTTGTACTCTCATATTAATCTGAAATTTAAAAAAAGAAAAAAAAATTTCATAAATTAGCAGAAAATATAACTAGACGATCTATGGGGTTGATTCTGTAAACACTACTGTTTACGAATAAAATATTCTTCAATTTCAATGAACCGAGTATTACGGTATAAGGCAAGGAAGGGAAGTTACTAGCTAGGTGACTTTTGTAAATTACTTAACAACTCGGAACCTGTTTCCTAATCCATAAAATGTGGGCAAGTGCTACTTAGCTAAGACATTTTAGAAATGGGACTGGGAGAAACAGTGACGTCTCAGGCCGGGCGACGGTTGCGCGGCGCCATTCTGCACGCGGCGAGGCGCCGAGCGCACGCCCCGCCTCCCCGGCCGCGCCGGCCCCGCGGAGACACCGCAGCACCCACCGCTCCTGCACGTGGGGCCCAACATGCTGAACCGCGCCGAAGTCTGCGCCGTTGAGAACCACTGTCCTAACCCGGCGTTCACCAAAAAAAGATTCCAGAAGAGGGACGGAGAAATAAAACAGTGGCCCCAAGTCGTCGTTTAAGGCGAAGCCGCGCGCAGACCCGGGAGAGGAGCTCCGAGCGGTGGACAGAATGGCAAGGGAAGGGCCCCGGGACCGGTGGCCGAGTCTCCGGTTTCTGACAAGCAGAGGCCAGTACGGCTCACCACTTACGCTGCCTGGCCCATTCCTGGGTAGATTGATCTCCAGAAGCACTGAGACAGAGAAGCCCCGAGAAAGGCGACGGGGAGCGTGCGGGAGGTGCAGGACGCGACTCCGGAGCCACCACCCGCCGCGCCGGCGCAACCCAAGCCCCGCCCCTCGCTCCAGGGAGCCCGCGGGCGCACCTCCTCCTCGGCCCAGCCCCCTCCCTTTTCCCTGGACCCGCCCAAGCGACGCCCCGCCCCTCCCTCGCGGGCGCGCCTCGACCTCCGCCCCGCCCTCGCCTGCGCCGCCCTGCGTGAGGGGCCGGGGCGGGGCGGGAGGCTCGCGTGCTGCCACGTCTGGGCCGTGGACTCGGACTGAGGCTCGCGAGGTGGGACGGGCTCTGGAGTCGGAGCCGGATCCGGATCCGGTGCCGTGCTCCGCGGCGGAGGGGAGTCTGACGCGCCCCGCGAGGAGTGCGGACTGCGGGGCCTGAGCGGGTGAGGAGGGCCGGCGTGCCGCCGCCGGGGGGCTGACGCCGGGCTTGTCACACAGGTGCGCCTGCTGCGGAGAGCGGGCCGGGCCCGGCCCGGGGGGCGGTGATGGGAGCCGAGCGCGTTGGCCGGACACGCTCCCGGAGCGGAGGGCGGGGGCCACGGCCAGCGGCCAGCCGAGCGGGGTCTTGGCCCGCCAGGGCCGGAGCGGGCATTGGGGTCGACACTGACTCTTCCTCCCCGGCTTCAGCTCGCGGTCTCCGCAGCGCCGGCAGTGCGTGGACACCGACGCCTCCGGCCTCTTCCCCTGGGGCGCAGCCGAGTGGCTGCCCCGCAGGTCGGGGCTTCCCCCGGTGGAGAGGGACACCCTTTGTCTCTTTTCCCTGGGCTTCTGCCCTAGAAGCACGGCGTACTGGACTGTGCTTGCTGTTTTGAGAGCTGATGTTTATGTAAGCCCAGCTCCGTATTGAACGGACGATTGTGGGATTCGTTTTGTTGGGCCGGTTGCTCAGGAATAAGACGTTCAGGTTTACTTAGGCAGGACTCGCCGAGTAGGGCGTGCAGAACTACCGCTCTGATACCGTGATGTCAGGATCGGCACGCGCTGAGCCTAGTAGTCTGGGGCTCAAGGTGGGAAAACGGGAGGAGGATTCTAGTCCCAACTCATTCATCTGCCAGGTTACCTCGGGGCACGTCTTGGAAAATTAAAGTGCTCCACCTTCTTCACCACATTGGGGATAGTGCTCCTCAGATCGTAAAGATCAGATAAACTACCAGAAAATACTTTTGAAAACTTCTGCAATTGCATAACTTAATAAATATGGACAGGCCTGTTAAAAACATCAATGAGGAAATTTTTCTTAGCTTCAGACGTAGTCAGACTATTACTGAAATGTGTATAAAGGAACCCTAGTCTCAAACAGCACTCCCAGTACGTGGGGTACTGACGTATGATGCCTCAGAGGCTCTTGAGACAACGTGGTTTAGATATGGCTTTAGATCATATTTTTTACACTTGTATAACTACTTTTTTTCTTCTGAGAGAGATTTTCACCTTTTTGTCCCAGACTAAAGTGCTGTGGTGTCCCCTCACAGCAACCTCAAACTCCTGAGCTCAAGTTATCCTCCTGCCTCAGCCTCCTAAGTAGTGGGATTATGGGCGCCCTTCTGGATGCCTGGCTAATTTTTCTATTTTTTAGCTCCTGCTCAAGCTGGTCTGCAACTCCTGAGCGCAAGGGATCCTTCTGCCTTCCCTTCTCAGACTGCTAGATTACAGGCAGGAGTCCCGTGGCTGGCCTGAATTTGTGTATCAACTTTGTAAAATCTTAATCCCCAGGGTTTGTTACTTATTGCTTTCACTTGTCTGTTTCTAAGAGGCAGCTTCTCCCCATTTGTATTCAAATTTGATAAAGAACCTGGGAAGCCGTAAGATTGAAATTGTGCGTTAAAAGTACTCAATTGAGTGAAACCTGATGTTACAACTAGTAAAAATGAGTTGGGTGTATGGTTTTTGTGCTATCATGTATGGCATTTTGGTAATCTTTTTTTTTTTTTTTTTTTCCCTCTGGATTTTCTAAAATGCAATCTCCAGATAAGTTTTATAAAATTGGTTATTCATTTACTAGGCATTTACTGGACTAGAGTTAGGCATGTATGGGCCTACTAAAGGAATGCTAACTTCAGTTAAATAGAAACGGTTCTTGAGGAATATTTAAGGGGGGGTTAGAGTTTACTTTTCACAGTTACCTAAAAACTTTAAGACCTCAGTGACAACGATGACATTGAGCTTAACACAGTGGTGCAATTTTATTTGCAAATTTTCTAGTTTTGCGGTATCTAAGGCACCTTAAGATGTGAAGGTATTATTTCTTTTGTAAATGAAATAAAATTACTTATTTAGTTCTTCTTTGAAATTCTTTAGAATTTGGCATCAAACCACACTTATTCCATCTTGCCTGGCATATTTAGCTGGGCACCAGCAGAGTCCTACTCTTTGAGGATGGAATTAGATTAAGCAAGTCTTAAATATGGCTCTGTTTCATAAAAACATTTTGATAGTAATTTCTGATTGCTTGCTTAATATTTCTACCCAAAGTGCTTTAATGTATTTTGACTAGTATGAAATTCCCATTTCTAAACATAGGTTCCAAGTGCTGCTCTTGACTAAATTTTCAACTCCTATACCTCAATCAAGGAGGGAATTCACCTGCACTAGTTTTATCTTCACTGTATCTTCAGTTAAGAGTACCGAAGAGCACCAGAGGTGAACTCCTACTGCCAGCAGGACTGGCTACATAATTTGTGATAATCCAGAGAAACTGCAGGGCTTTTTGTTAAAAAATTATTCAGCATTTCACAGCAGGGGCAGCAGAGAAACTGAGTACAAGGCCCTTTGCAGCTCTGTACTCCTTGCTGTGAAGCTAGCCTGGTTCCTTATGCACACTGTAACCTTGTGCAGGTTACTCCGCCTGCTTCCTTGTCTGTAAAATAATGCACAGTAAATGATGATACACCCTTCATTGTATTTGCAAGAGTTAACAAATGTGTATTTAATAAATGCTAGCCAGTGTTTTTATGACCTTTCATGGAATAAGGCCATCTGGTTAAAGAAAGTACAGGAAAATCTTAGTATTTACTGGTTAAAATTCATTAGTGAAAGCCTCCATAATCTTAATTTTTCTGCAGTCTCCCTGTCCCCTGTCTCTCATGAAAAATTTTAACCTTTTTCAGACTACATTTTGTAAACTCAAGCATCTTTATAGAAAATAATCACAATTTATATCCTTTGATGAATGTTACTAGAACTAGGAATAATGTTTGCAGCATAATGTGCTCTGAATTTTTTTTTTTTTGACAGAGTTTCATTTTGTTGCCCTCGATAGAGTGCTGTGGTGTCACAGCTCACAGCAACCTCAAATGCTTGGGCTCAAGTGATTCTCTTGCCACAGCCTCCGGAGTAGCTGGGACCACAGGCACCTGCCACAATACCCAGCTATTTTTTAGAGACAGGGTCTTGCTCTGCCTCCAGTTGGTCTTGAAAATGGGAGCTCAGGCAATCCACTCACCAAGGGTGAATCCTTTTTGAGAGGAAAAAAAAAAAAAACTCTCAGTATTCTACATAAACTATGTTTTTATTCTTACCTACCTAAAAATGCTAATTTTTGGTTTAACATAAACACAAGATAGAACCTGTCATTCTTGGAATCCCTATACCTAGCACAGAGCCTGATTGATGAATTAATTTAAAGGTGAAAAAAACTGGCTGGGGTGGTGGCTCAAGCCTGTAAATCTTAGCACTCTAGGAGGCCAAAGAGGGTGGATTGCTCCAGCTCAGAAGTTGATGACCAATCTAAACATGAGCGAGACCCCTTCTATACTAAAAACAGAAAAAACAAACCAGGTGTTGTGGTGTGCATCAGCTACTTCAGAGGCCAAGACAAGAGGATTGCTTAACCTCAGGAGTTGGAGTTTGCTGTGAGCTATGAGGTCATGGCACTGTACCCAGGGCCACAGAGACTCTGTCTTTAAAAAAAAAAAAGTAAAAAAAATTAACAAGAATTTTTTTTTTTTTTTGAGACGCAGTCTCAAGCTGTTGCCCTGGGTAGAGTGCTGTCACGTCATAGCTCACAGCAACCTCCAATTCTTAGACTCAAGTGATCCTCTTGCCTGAGTTTTGTTTTGTTTTGTTTTTTTCCTATATTTAGTAGAGACAGGTCTTGCTTTTTGCTCAGGCTAGTCACAAACTCGTGAGCTCAAGCAGAGCAGTAGGATTACAGATGTAAGCCACTTCACCCAGCCAAGAATTTTTAAACTTGAATTTTAAATGTATTGCTAACTAAAATATATCTTGTGTTTGCAATGTGCTGGTATGTTAAGTGCTTGCTTGTATAAAGTAGTTCATTTCATCCTTCCAATAATTTATTTCCATTTTACAAATGAGAAAATGAGAGTCTAAGTGCGTAATTACCTTTTCAGTATCACACAGTTGACATTTGAACACTAGGTCTGTCACCAAAGCTCATGGTCTTGTCATGATTAGGTTTACATCCTCGTTCCACTCAAAAATAAAAGTAAATTTTAAAAGTCTAAAACTTATTAGTCATTTAATGTGTAGTGCCATGTGATGTTAGATTCAGGACTGCTTAAAGTAAAATATTTTTCATATCTGTTAAAGAATGCTTCTAATTGTACTAGTTTATATAAAGAAATTACCTTTGTCCTCAATCATAATAACTTTCCTTCTGTTAAACAAAATGTCCTTCCCTGTAAGTACAGGCACCTTAGGAAAAAAAGAAAAAAAGAAAAGAAGATGCCTTAACATTCGAACTTTTATTTTAGACTCTCCTGGAAAGATGAAACCTGATGAAACTCCTATGTTTGACCCAAGTCTACTCAAAGAGGTGGACTGGAGTCAGAATACAGCTACGTTTTCTCCAGCCATTTCCCCAACCCACCCGGGAGAAGGCTTGGTTTTGAGGCCTCTCTGTACTGCTGACTTAAATAGAGGTATGGACTCAGATAGTCTACCAATGTTTACTAGAACTAACATTACTTAGCCCTTCCATTTTCTCCATAAACGTTATGATGCTGATAATTTTTTTAAAAATTGACTTTTGGACTATTTATTATACTTAATTGTTTTTTGTTTTTTGTTTTTTTTGAGACAGAGCCTCAAGCTATCCCCCTGGGTAGAGTGCCGTGGCATCACAGCTCACAGCAACCTCCAACTCCTGGGCTCAAGCGAGTCTCCTGCCTCTGCCTCCCAAGTAGCTGGGACCACAGGCGCCCACCACAACGCCCGGCTATTTTTTGGTTGCAGCCGTCATTGTTGTTTTGGCGGGTCCGGGCTGGGGATTCGAACCCGCCACCTTAGGTGTACGTGGCTGGCGCCTTAGCTGGTTGAGCTATAGGCGCCGAGCCATTATACTTAATTGTTAAAGTGACTGGGACACTCAGTTTCACTGTGTGTATGTCATGTTGTGACCAAATATTGCTGTGAAATATTTAAAATGACCTGAATATAAAATTACTCCATCCTAATTAAGCCAAAAAGATTTCTCATAAAATTTGTATACTTAGGCCAGGCACAGTAGCTTATGCCTGTAATCCTTGCATTCTGAGAGGCCGAAGTGGGTGGATTGTCTGAGCTCAAGAGTTTATGACCAGCCTAAGCAAGAGCCAAACCCCATCTCTAAAAATAGCCAGGCATTGTGGCAGGCACCTGTAATCCCAGCTATTAGGGAGGCTGAGGCAAGAAGATCACTTGAGCTCAAGAGTTTAAGATCGCTGTGACATCATAGCACTCTACCAACAGCGACAAAGTGAGACTCTGTCTCAAAAAAAAAAATTGTATCCTCAACAATGTTATTTATACTTTATTTCATAAGTGATATATTCATGCTCATAGTGAGAAACTTATCTTTTAAAGTAAAACCAAATCACATATTGGGAAAATTTGGCTCCCTTGCATTGAACTTAATGCAAATTACATTGAAAAATGTATGTGCTGGTTCTATAATACTGGATAGTAAGGTTAGCACTTTTCCACAGATCTATGCAAGCAAAAGCACTGGCAAAATTATTATTGTTATATGTAGTGATTATAGAAAGAACAGGTTTCAGTTTAACCTTTTTAATGGTAAAATAATTTTAAAAGATTATAGGAAGTTCTTTAAAAATAACTTTCCATACTCAGTTTAACATATTGCTTCTTTTCATACCCTGTCTTCCTTTTGCTCTTCTCATAACTTGAAATCTGTTTTTTAAAACTAGGTTTTTTTAAGGTACTAGGGCAGCTGACAGAGACTGGAGTTGTCAACCCTGAACAGTTCATGAGTAAGTACTGTCACCTTTTTCCTGAATGAAAAGAAACAAGGGAAACAAGGTTTTGTTTTTGTTTAGAGCTCTGTTCAGTGCTTATGTTTTTGTTCAAATAGGTGGAAGTTATTCAAATAACAAATTAGCTGTTTTCTAATTTAAATGTCAAATGTTCTAGAATCCAAACATAGGAAGAACCTGGTCTGGCATAAATACCTGACTACTTTTAGGTAACTAGTAATACTAAAGCATAGGGCCTAGGTGGCAGCTATGCAGATTTTTCATTCTTATTGTAGTATAGGCAGCCCCCCGTTATGGGAGACCCGACTTACAGTGCTCTGTAGTTATGAACAGGCTCCTGAGGCTCCCCATAAGGATAATTTATAATTTAATAATCAAATTAATAATTAGGGAACTAGGTTCTTCCTCTCACATAGACAAACCCGCATGGCACACTCCTCCTGCTGGCCCGGTATCCTAATGCTCAGTAATAGTCACATTTTTTTTAGTGTTGATGACACTGATTACACATGGCATCACTTTCACCTGAACTTTTTACTTTGATTTTGTGAGTCTGTTTACCCTCATGACCATGCTTCCAGTCCATTGCACATCCAGGTGAGCCTGCAGCCAAGAGAAAGGTGAATGAAATGGAAGCAGAAATAATTAAGCATTCCAAGAAAGGCCAGATGCCATCATTCGTTTGCTGGAAGAGCTGGGAGAGCATTAGGCCTTGGTTGCTGCTCAGCTGTGAGAAGAATCAGAACACTTATAAAAGGAACGTGTGAAAGGCAGTGTTCCAGTGAAAGCATCAAGTATCGTAAGGCAGCATAGAGGATTAAGACTGAAGTAGAAAGGTGGTTATTATCATTATCATTTTTGAGACAGAGTCTCACTCTGTGGCCCTGAGCAGATTGCCATGGCATCACAGTTCATAGCAACCTCTTTGGCTCAAGTGATCCTCCTGTCTCTGCCTCCCCAGTAGCTGGGACTACAGGGGCCCCTGCACAACGCTTAGCTCGTTTTTCTATTTTTAGTAGATATGGGATCTTGCTCTTGTTCAGGCAGTTCTCCAACTCCTAAGCTCAAGCAGTCCACCCACCTCAGCCTCCCAGAGTGCTAGGATTATAGGCCTGAGCCACCTGGCTGGAAAGGATATTACTGATTTGGTTAGAAGATCAAAATAAACGTATCAGTCCTATTAGCCTAGCATTGATGCAACATTAGGTGAATGTTAACTTTAGTAATTTTAAAAAACCCTCCTGTCCCCCATCTAAACTTTCTGTGTGAGTTTGCTTATATGTTGTTTGAATTAAAAGAGGATAGTCATGGCTCAGCAACTGTAGCTCAGTGAGCAGGGTGTCAGCTACATACACCAAGGTGGCGGGTTCCAGCCTGGCCCGTGCCTGCTAAACAACAGCGACAACTGCAACCCGGAAATGGCCAGGCATTGTGGCAGGCGCCTATGGTCCCAGCTGCTTGGTAGGCTGAGGCAGGAAAATCACTTGAGTCCAGGAGTTTGAGGTTGCTGTGAGCTGTGGTGCCATGGCACTCTACCCAAAGCAACATAGTTAAGACTTTGTCTCAAAAAAAAAAAAAAAGAGGACAGTCATTTCTGCGTCTTACCATTACAGGACAGGTGCTGTTATTACAGTGTATTGTGATTACTAACATGAGCCCCTGTGGTAGTCGTGTTATCACCACTGCTGTACATGCACTGTTGCTCAGGTATCCCAGGGACCTTTAGTGTGTCTCGTCCATAACTTGGGGATGGGCCTTTATTTCCTTTCATGTGGTTAGGGTTGGGTTATTCACAGAAATTTCATCACAAAATCAAAAATGTAAGAGCATATATTTTAGTGTGGGTTCATTTATATTGAATTTTAAGGCTAGCAGCTATCTTTGAGTTGATCCAACCTCTACCCCCTTTTGTGGACACAGAAGAAAATGGGAATCCAGAGATCCAGTGACTTACCCAAGGTCGCAAGTAGTTATTGGTAAGGACAGGACTAAAACTTCCTAACTCTGTCCAGTGCTCGAACACTGCCTTTTCTTGTTTTCTATAATTCATTTCCTTTCACAGTAATTTTGTTTTGCACTTTGTCTGATCCTCCTGAGAGTGAAAACTATTATTTTCTGATTCTTATTTTCTCTCATTGAATTTGTTTCTTCTTTCTACTACAGACCCCTATCTAGAATGACACTATGGAAATAAACAATATGAGATTATTTAGCTCAGTTTTTATTTCTGAATTTCTCTGTGTGCATATCAGATTAGATGGGAAACCATGTTATTTCAGCAATATAAATATTAAAGGTCAATTTGAGGGGAAAGTATCTTTGCTCTTACTTGCTAGATGAATTTGGAAAAATTGCTTGGAAAGAAAATTTTCACTTCCTTTAAAGGTCCTTTCAAAGCAAACAAAATAATGACTGTTTTAAAGAGTAAGCACATAATCATGACACACTTGCTATCACAAAGGAAGACTCACAATTACCAGATGGAGCCATGTAAACATGCTCTTGTCTTTTGCAGAGTTGTTTTTTTTAAGAGACAGTCTCACTTAATTGCCCACGGTAGAGTGCCATAGCGTCACAGCTCACAGCAACCTCCAGCTCTTGGACTTAGCAGTTCTCTTGCCTCAGCCTCATGAGTAGCTGGGACCATAGGCGCCCGCCACAACACCTGGCTACTTTTGTTGCAGTTAGGCTGGGGTTTAGGTTTGAACCTGCCACCCTCGATATATAGGGCCAGTGTCCCACTCTCTGAGCCACAGGTGCTGCCCTTTTGCAGAGTTTTTGTTCTGTTTGAATGTTTGTTGAGTGTAAAGGTTAAAGAAAATCTGTTTATAGAAATTGAAGTTTTCAGTCATTAGTGGTAGAAATGGCAGCGTCTACAATTTTAAGTGCTATTCATCTGAAATTGCTATTACTAGTCTTTGTTTTGCTAGCAGATATTTTAAATGTATGGACTATATTCCAGTTGATACTGATTGCTGATATTTCAATTAGTCATTTTTAATTATGTAATACTTTCTTTAAAAATGGAAAGTAAATTATGGTAAAAATACCTTTAAATATTCAATAATTAAGTCAGTTAATCCTAGTATTTTTCTGGTACCTAATAAAGTTGAATATTTACTAAATAAAACTTTGTTTTCCTATTTCCACAGAATCTTTTGAGCATATGAAGAAATCAGGGGATTATTATGTTACAGTTGTGGAAGATGTGACTCTAGGACAGATTGTTGCTACGGCCACTCTGATAATAGAACACAAATTTATTCATTCCTGTGCTAAGGTATGTGCTTACATTAACACTTAGGAGTAAAATAGACAAGTGTTTTTAGTAAAACTGAGTTTTCATTAGACAAATATATTTTCACACTGCTTTTCATTGCTTCTTAGAAATCCTTTAGTAACAGGCATTTTTCCCAGTGTGCTCTTTCTGAGACCTATAAGAAAGAAAATCTATTAACAGTATGAATTGTTTGCTAAAATTGTTCTGTGTTAGGTTGGTATTGTCATAGGCAAACCAAATGTTATCCTGTATTTTAGTAGGAATGTACAGAAGCCCATCATAATGTTTTTCAAAAGCAATACTTGAATACATTGCATTAGCACAAATTTTTAGCCCTTTTCAAGTAGTAAAACAGGTGAGAATACGATGTTCTGTTCTGTGATACTTCTAATGCTTGTGGTACCCTCTGACCTCTCAAGAATTCACAAGAAATACTAAACAAAACCCCCAGCTAACCCAGTAAGGATAAGATAGGAACACTCAGAATATGTTCTCTGAAGCTTATGAATGTAAGTTAATACATTTTATTTGGATGTCTGAAATAAATTGGTATGAAACAAAGAGCAGAATGACGGATGCTAAGATTACATTTTGGTGCTGTGGATTCTGGTATTTGCTTTAGTCAACAGCACCAGGAGGCTGCAGACAAAACAAGATGAGGTCACAAGTTGATTTCATTATATTGTTTTCTCTAAGAAGTGAGTAAAAAGTTGTGTTGTTTTTTTCTGTGAAGTTGGTTACAAAACATTGTCAATTTTGAGAAACTCAACGTGTTTCAGCTAAAACCAAATGCTTAGTCCTTTAAGCACTGTAAATGCTTTCAGAGAGGAAGAGTGGAAGATGTTGTCGTTAGTGATGAGTGCAGAGGGAAGCAGCTTGGCAAACTGTAAGTAGGCAGAAACAAGGTAACCCTGCAGAAACTCTATTTTCAATTTATTTTCTTGCAAAGATTCTTATTTAAAAGGTTTTCCTTTTTGAAGTACTTTTTGGATTTCATTGATTCTGAACCCATTCTCTATAGCTTAGACTAAATTTAATGAATAAAGTTTGAAAATTAGATATGTACTCCTTTCCAGATAGTAATGTCTTTAAGTAATCAGTGTTTAATAGTAGCATGTTCTCACACTAGTAGGAAACAAAGTTTTGGGCTAGTCAGGTGATTTGCCCCAGCTTCTGTCATATTTAAAAACAAAGGAATGTTCTACTATTACAGAATATTCTGTGATTTCAGTATCCTAAGGTTTAAAAATGTGTATGGAAACAGGCTTCACTATATAATTCTCTGTCCATTCCTCTAAATCTTTAAAGGTAAAGATTGCATAAGTTTACTGTCTGTTTTATAAGAACTGCTTTTTAATACCATCTCTTCTGACCTGCTATGTACTAGATACTATTCTCGGTATTTGGACTATATTAGTGAATAAAACAGACCAATTTCTGGTATTAAGAGTCCATTTGACTTGGTCATACCTTTTAAAGTTTTGTAACTTCAACAAGATCCTTTGTTTCCTAAATGACAATATTTTAGTCTATTTATACATGAAAAAATCCTTCAAATTCCTTTAGATCTTTCATAGTTTTTATCCTCTTAAGGCTGTTAGAACCATGTCTTTTTTTTTTTTTTTTACTAGGGTTGGATTCATTAAGGATTAGTAAAGATGTATATTTTTTGCTTTATTTCTGCTTCATATTTAGACCAATCTTGAATTATTCCACTACCTACTTTCACAAATGTTAGTTTTGGAAATAATTAAAAACAAAGCTGTCATGCACTCATTTTATATGGGAATGCTGACTATTCCTAAGTAGTTTATTAAATAGATTTAAAGACCTTTCACAAAATAATTTTGGCAATACTTTTTTAAAGATTGATAGTCTTTAGTGTTAATATGTATCTTACAGTTTATTTTTAAAGAGGGTTTAGGGTGAGTTTAGTATCTGTCCTATTTAATAAAAGGCTGAAGAGGCTTAGCACCCATAGCACAGTGGTTAGGGCACTGGCCACATACACTGAGCCTGGTGGATTGGAACCCGGCCCTGGCCAGATGAACAACAATGACAACTACAACATCAACAAAAAGCTGGGCATTGTGGCAGGCGCCTGTAGTTCCAGCTACTTGGGAAGCCGATATCGCTTAAGCTTAAGAGTTTGAGGTTGCTGTGAGCTGTGAGGCAACATAGTGAGACTCTGTTTCAAAAAAAAAAAAAAACCAAATAAAAATGCTTTGGGGATTTGCTCTTCAGTTACAATTTGAGTATTTATTTATTTTTTTGAGACAGAGCCTTTAAGCTGTCTCCCGGGGTAGAGTGCCGTGACATCACAGCTCACAGCAACCTCCAACTCCTGGACTCAAGCGAGTCTCCTGCCTCCACCTCCCAAGTAGCTGGGACCACAGGTGCCCGCCACAATGCCTGGCTATTTTTTTTTTGGTTGCAGCCAGGGTTGTTTGGCAGGCCCTGGCTGGATTCGAACCTGCCACCTTAGGTGTATGTGGCTGGCGCCTTAGCCACTTGAGCCACAGGCGCCGAGCCACAATTTGAATATTTAAAAGAATACAATGGGAAAGGCTATGATCTAAACCCATTGCTAATAAAAAGTGAAGTTTAATTTTGACAATTTATATACTATAAAATCCATTTTTAGTAATATATATTGTCTTCCCACCTTTCCCCTTTTTAAATTTCAGGTTATTATCAACCCTTACTTTGCTAAGCAAGAAACTGAACTGTTATAAGATTACTCTTGAATGCCTACCACAAAATGTTGGTTTCTATAAAAAGTTTGGATATACAGTATCTGAAGAAAACTACATGTGTCGGAGATTTCTAAAGTAAAAATATTTCAAGAAAGAGAACTATCAAAGGCACTAATGGTACAAAGCTATCCTCTTACTAGAGTTAAAATACTATGTTGCTGTGATCCAGTAATCTCCATAAATACCAGACTGAAAAAAAAAACCCACTGTAATACTGAAGTATGACATTGAGAAGATTACTTTGGGCTGGTGGGACATTCTGTGAGTTCAGATCACAAATGATTATTATAAAGGGGGTGATTTTTAACCAAAAGAATATATTTTTAACTTGAATCTTTTCTTGCATTGTATTTTTCTAAAGTCTGCCTTCATTTCTGGGTGGTCAGGAGTCATACACCTGCTATCAGCGCTGCTCATTCAAAAGGATACATCGAATAAGGCTGTTTCTTATCTCATGCGTACAATGTAATATTTGTCTCAAAGAAATTGATCTAGATACACTTGGGGGGGGGGCATATCATTTCCTATATAACAAATCAAGTTGGATAAATTAGTCACAACTAAATGTGACTACAGCAGTCTAATATTTCTTGACCCTAACAGTAATAGAAATGAAAATTAACTTAAGTTACAACATTCATAGTAAAATAATTTAAATGTTTTACTGTTTATATAGTTCTATGTAGACACAGTACCATCTGTCTTATCTGCAAAACATAATAATTACCATTTGTTAAAAATAGCTACCTAAGAGCAATTATAATGGGACATCTAAGGTACTTTTAATTAGTGAATAAATCTTAGCTTAGGTAGAAATGCCTGCATTTCTCTTTTCATGCATACCTGAAGCCTGTTTTCTGAGTAATATCTTTATGAAATGGAATATTCTAAAGTGGAATACAATGTTAAAAAATATACTGTTATTTGTCACATTCTTAAAATGGTGATGGAAGCTTTTCTTTTAAATGTAATCATAATGGTACTATTATCCTGTTTTGATTTTATTTAATTATTTTTTAAAGTTGAAGGATTGACACTTCAGTGGTTCTAATCTTTTGCATTCCATGTTACAATAAACCAGTTGAGATGATGGATGGTCATCTGTTAGAATTTTCTCTGTGCTTTTCTGGAGTTTTCTACTGAACTATAAGTCATGATCCATAAAATTTGAGTTTTGTGTTTATTATCTGTGAAATGAACTTGAAGTAAAGACCATGTGTTTCACATTCCTTAACACCACAACTGGATTTTAGGTTTCAGCTAAAGTTAGCTTTCTAAAACAACAGAAATCCTTTAGCAGAGCCAACGTTACTTACCTGTTCAGGCCCTACGCAGGTGAACTCATCTGTCTCGTGAAAGCAACAAAAAGTTAGGTCTGACTTTTCAAGAGTCTTATAACATTGGCAGACAGTAACTTCCTTGGGTAAATTCTGCTAATTAAAAACCTAGGTTCAAAAATAGGCCTGGGCCAGGCCTGGTGGCTTTTGCCTGTAATCCCAGTGCTTTGGGAGGGCCAAGGCAGGAGGACACTTGAGGACAGACTAGACCGAGCATCACAGCAAGAACTATCATTACAAAAAAAATTTATTTTTTTCTACAAAAAATTAAAAAAATTAGCTGGGTGTGGTGGCACACACCCGTAGTCCTAGATACTTGGGAGGACTGCATGAACCCAGGATTTCTGGGCTGTGGTGAACTATAATCACGTCACTGCACTCTACCCTGGGTGACAAGGGAGACCCTTTCTTTTAAAAAAGGCTACTAAAAGACAAAATTAAATGCTTTATTACATTTCGTACTGCTCAGCGATATGAAGTAAAATTGTCCACAAGGTTAGTCTTCCCATAAATCCCTTTCAATGGTGTTATTAAGGGCTTCTCCTAAATCCCCTCCCAAGTAGTTATAGGTAGGGTTTAGTAAATAGGGATTATGTCATTGGGCTGGGCACAGCAATTGCCTGTAATCCTAGCACCCTGGGAGGCTGAGGCAGGTGGATTGAGTTCAGCGTTTGAGACCAGACTGAGCAAGAGTGAGACCCCATCTCTAGACGCCTAAGTAGTTCCAGCTACTTAGGAGGCTGAGGCAGGAGGATTCCTCGAGCCCAAAAGTTTGAGGTTGCTGTGAGCTATGGTGCCATAGCACTTTACCAATAGTGTCAAAGTGACACTTGGTCCGGGGGGGGGGGGAAGACAATCAGTAGTGGTCTCTAGCTTTAGTTCATAGGAGTTATGTTTATGATTTTCCAAGCTATATGGTCAGTAAACCTGAGTATGAAAAAATGCTGTATGAAACACTAATATACAGATCATATTCACATTTTTAGTTTTCAAAAGGACACATTTTTTACTGTGCACATATGCTCTGTGTGCTGTAACATCTCTGACACATTTTATGACCAATGGCTTGTCATAATTTCATTAACAATATTTTGCCCATAAGTGGTTATCTAAAATGATGATGTAGTTGTGATGGGACCTTAGCTTTGATGAAACACCGACTGTAAGTAGCCTAAGAGGGGAAGATGGTACTGCAAAAGCAAGAAGTATTTTTTTTTGAACGAGCCGGAAGCTACCATATGGATTACCTACCCTTTCCTTCAGAATTCCCTCACCTCCAAATCCCTCAACTAATCCTTAAAAATATACTGGAGCTGGAATTTGAGGTTTACATGGATTACTGATAATTTTCAGTGTCTATATGATCAAAGTGCTTTGGAGAATACTCTTAATGTGTCATTTTCAAGTTTTATTTAGTTTTTTCTTTTTGTTGCAGTTGTCATTGCTGTTTTAGCTGGCCAGGACCAGGTTCGAACCTGCCACCTTGTGTATATGGGGCCGGCACCCTACCCACTAAGCCACAGGCGCCGCCCTTGGGAGAATACTCTTAAGTGCATTTCAGTATTCAAATGTCCACTCACCCTTAATCTGTGGTGTAAAATTAGACTACTTTTATCTAGAAGGTAACTAAATAAAGAAGTTCTGAGACATAAACAGTATGAATAAGCTTTTCAATCTTTTTTGAGGTATAATGGCACAACAGTTTTAATACAACCACCAATCTTCACAAAATAATTTTAATACTTTGTGCCTGGGCTAGCAGCATCTTGCACTGTGACATTCCTATACATACATAAGCATTTTATCCAAGTACAAATGTTAAAAGCAGAGTAACTTAAGCAATTGCCTATACAAAGGTAAATAGACACTATAGGTTATTTTTCTTCTTGAATCATTTTTGCTGCATAGTAAATTGCAATTACATGTTAGTATAATGTCACTGATCTGTAGAATACACTTTGAACTGTGAGGTATGGCGACTCCCTAGGAGAGAGCTAACATGTAAACCTGAATGTTGAGTGATTCTGTTTTTGTTTTTTTTAGCTGCCACAGATGGGAAAGACAAAGAAAAAATATCCAGCATTCAAAGATCTAGAAACATTTTTCTAATAAATTAAAAAATAAAACCTTATAGTAATTCTCAGCTATTTCCTATCATTTCCTTATTAGACCATTGTTGGATGGACAAAGAAAGTAAACACTGAAGTGAAGCTATGTCTGCTGTAGGATCATGGACTGAACCAGTTATTAAAAAAAACTGCCAGGTAACTGCTCATTTACTTTACACCAAGTTGAGATTTAGATATATACATCTCAACTTTATAATTCAAGACTGCAGTTAAATATTTCTAATTCACTTGAATTACCATAGTAATAAGACAATTAGAAACCTTATATATTTTTTTAAAAGGACATGCTTAACATTTTCTGACGTTACTTCTAAATTCAAATGAAACACAAAATCCTCCCACAATGAATATTCTGCTCTAAAAGGTAAGTGGTTGAGAGGTGGGAGCAAAAGCTATCACAGTTTAACATTTCTACCATAGATAGATACAAAAAAACAAAGGTAACTGCTACTTAAACATCTAATAGATAAGAAATTAACATGAACCAATTAAATCAGAAGGTAAGAACACTGCCATTCCAGTTTCAACATTTTCAATATTTAAGTTTCCATACTTTCAAAAAGGACAGTAATGCAGTTTTCCCTCTGTTTTGATGTAATTCCACTTTAAATTTCGTGCCCAGATTACAAAGATAAAATTGGGTGGTCACTCACATTATTCAAATACTCTAGAAAATAATTCATGATTGGTTAAAGTTACCATGGTTATCTATCACAAAACATCAATAGAAATAAAGGAATCACAGAACTAGCTGAACATAGGTAGACAAACAGGTTCCAGGAAACAAGCTCATCACATTCTGAAACGTGCAATGAACCTCGCGCTTTATCCACCTTGATGGTATTCAAGATGACGACAGTCCCTTTTTCTAATGTTTGTGAGAGACTATCTATAATATACAGTGCTGGGCAGGCACTTCTGTGACAATGTAACAATTATTGTGGTTAGAAAAGGTGGAAATTACCAGCCATGAAGTAGTACTAATAACCAAAGATGTATTTTTGACCATATAAGAGGATATGTTTATGAAACTAATAAAGTCTTAATTTCCTCATTTTTAAAACATAAATTCACTATTAGGGCTATTCTTTTAGGCAGAGTTTATGCTGAATGAAGCACCATAGATTACTATTAGATTATAAGAGACTTTGCTGGCCTATCCAATAGTGATCTGTATACAGGGAAGCTGTGTTATATGGTAACTTTACCAACTGGAATTTTTGAATACCCAAAGCAAATCTTCACTCCACTACACCACTGTACACCAAATGCCCTAATCAGACACAACAGAATACTGGACCACAATGGGATTAATGGTTACTTTCAGGGTGGTGAGAAGGAAGGGGAGAGAGAGATCAGAAGACTACTACTACCTGGGTCAAAAGGAATTAACTCTAACAGTAATTTTAATTCATTCTACTCTCCCACTAGGTTGGATAAAAAAGCTTTTACTGTAGTATTACATCACAGGGAGCAAAGTGAAGCAAGTAACTTGTGTGACAGGTTACTTTGCATAGTGCCTCTGATGCCAAGGGAATGTATAGAATTCATTCCCGTCAGTAAGCACCTTGAGAGAGGACCGAGAAAAGTGAGATACAAAGGAGTTTTATTTGTGCTACCCTAAGGTCATCAACTATAAAAAGTTAAAAAACACTCTTCTCTTCCCTCACATCCTACTTAAAATAGCAAAAATGTTTTTCTTAGAATAATTGTTATGCATATGAATAAAAATATGGAGAACCAAAAGTCCATACAGTGACTTCACTGAATATAATTATGGGGAAAGTTTGGACTAACTGAACGCAAAGAACTGATTAAAATACTAATTTAAAGTACACAAGAGTCTCCCACAAATCACTTTCCTCAAAAAATGCATCTTCAAAGAAGAGCTGGTGTCTGACTTGGAACAATCTCACAGAGTCACTAAGACAGCAAAAAATGGAGTAAATGTATTCCATATTGCAAATAATTTACTAAAGTTTCTTCAAGTTTCTTTGTTTAAGCTAATTTATGGTTGGTTTGAAAAATTACAGAAAAATATTAATATCTTTTCTACATACTAATTTAGAGGTCATGAAGATTTGATTTTTTTTTTTAAATGATGCAAGGCACTTCTTTTTTGGGCTTCATTTAGAAAAAAATTAGTGCTACACTGGTTTAATATATTCTGTTCAGAATCATTTTTGACAAAAGAAGAAACAGCTGGGCAACACTGAAAAGAACAAATACAACATTTGGCTTTTACCACAAAGAAAAAAAAACCAAAAGGGAAAGTCAGTTGAAAATTGAACACTATTCTTGTTTTTAAGCACTTGGTACTATAAAGCAAAACATGTTCCTTTTATCATTAAAACTCTGTAGTTTTTCTCTAGAGAATAAACAAATTAGGAAAGTAATAGGAAAGGAAGTGGTAATCAGACCATGTTAAAGTAGAGACAGTTTCCTAGTGTCATGATTTAAAGATCATCAAGGGATCAAGAAATCCAAAGACAAAATGATAATTAAGCTATTAACTTATACTACAAAAGAAATGTGGCAGATTCCTGCATTTTGTTAACATTTCTGTAAGAGGCTCCATCATAAAACTGAACTGTAAAATTATGTTTAAAATGTACTATACAGAACAAAAAGTGAATTTTTAGCAAACCTTAGGAAATTCTTGGTATAAATTACCCGAACTTTATAAACAAATCCCCCCTAACTTGCATTTTGTTTAAAGTAATAACTTTATATCATACAAATAAATTTCAAGTATGAAAAGTGCATTATTGCAATAATACCTCTTTGCAAGTCCAAAATTCTTGGTTTATAATAAAACTTGTAAAGTGTTTTGCTTTAAAAAAAAAAAAAAAAAAAAAAAAAAGGAGGAAAACCCTCAGTGCCATCTACTGCAGGAGTCCAACATCATAAAATGCTGCTCAGCAAGTTGCAGAGAAATGTGTCTGGAAGCAACAGATAATTGAAAAGAAACTACTTGTGTTTTTACCATTTTACATTATTATTGTCTCTGGTATTTTCTCCTTTCCAAATAGAAATTCACACTCTATAATTTTGCTCTTCAGTCAGCCATTCTGTGCAGTCGCCACTTGCATGTTTCCCAAGTCGTCATCCTCGTCATGTGTTCTCTTCAAACTGCCTAAAAGTTATTGCGTGAAGATAACATAAAATGTAGACTTAAATACACTCGTGTTAGAATGTTACAGCCAGTAAAAATTTGTTTTCCACGATGTGGTATCACCGAGGTACTATGAAAATTCCCTGACTGAATTTATAGCAAACGTTACTAAATTCTTTAGTTATAAACTACCAAAACAATGTTTTTTCCTGATTAGGTCATATTTTCCCGCCTAAGAATTAAGTGTGCCTTAGATACTACCTATAATAAATAATTTTCAAAAAAGGCTTTTTACAAAGAATGACACATCCATGTTTGGTGACCAAGTTGATGCTTTTTTAGCCACCATAAACATGATATAAGATTTAAGAAATCAATCTTGTATATGTATGATTTTTTCATAGATTTAATTATCAATTTAATTTCACAGATGTTACTACAAAGAGTAGCTGAAAATACTTGTCCTTTCAAACTATGGTTTTTATTACCAACAAGTTGAGGGTTGGAAGGAACAGATGAAGAGATTTCCTTTTACATACTCTTCATATCACAGTCTGTTAAATAAATTTTCTACATAGAATCCATATATGTCAGCAAGTTATAACTAAGAAATCTGAGTATCAATGGAGGAAAACTTTAGGGAATAAACTAGTAGCAGGTCTGCTGTATTTTTTGCCTAACAATAGTATGGCCTCAAATTTATACTCTACATGTTGTATTAAATCCTGGTGGTACATTAAGCTAATACTCTGCGTTTCACTGTAAGATTGATAAGGATAAAATGTATAAAATCAATAAAATGGGTAATATATCCTGGCCATTAGGCTAAGTCCAGACACTGTGATTAAGTTTCAGATGGAGTGCTGTGCTTCTACAGGACTCCACGGGGCTGGGGTTGGAGGAGGGTGTGCTGATCATTTGATGACACCTGGAACAATAGGGAAACTGAACGTGATCCATTTTAGGTGGAGAAAAGAAGATAGATGCAGGACACCATCAGTGGGTTCAGCTTTCTGGAGTACAGATTTAGAAACAGATAGAAATTAAAAAACCAAAAGGGCCTTTACTACCTGTGGCATTCTTGGCATTCTACCTGCTACATACTTTCTTCTGTAGGAATAAAGCCAATGAAGAAGTTGGCAAAGGAAAAAAAAATACCACTATTACAAACATCTTTCATGAAAATAAGTCTGGCTACAATGAACAGAATAGACCAAAGGGCAAGAGTTTGCAAGGAAGGCCAGTCTGGACTTGAACTAGCTTACGGTTACCATTAACTAAAAAAGGGAAGGAAAAAGCTAGGCACGGCAGATTCCTTGAGCTCAGGAGTTTGAGACCAGCCTCAGCAAGAGCGAGACCCCATCTCTACTAAACAGAAAATGAGCAGGGGGGTATGGCAGGAATTTGTAGTCCCAGCTACTCTAGAGGATGAGGCAAGAGGATTGCTTGAGCCCAGAAGTTAGAGGTTGCTATGAGGTAGGCCAATGCCACAGTTCTCTACCCTAGGCCAGAGAGAAAGACTCTGTCTCAAAAAGGGGGAGGGGAGAGTTTACAGATGCGGATAAAACAGACCCTATTGGATTTGGAGGTAATACGAGATGGCAAAGGCAAGAAGAGTCAATGACAACTAGGAAGTTAAGAGTGAGAGATGAATACACAACATCTTCACTACAAGGAATACAGTGGGAAGAGTTCTAGACTTTTTGATCAGATCACCTGTCCTCAATTTCCAGGTCAACACTGACCAGTGTTAACTTTGAAATGTGAAGGGACTGGGATAATTCTGAAACAGTAAAGGAGGGGGAAAAGGACTGAAATATTAATGGCAAGAGAAAAACAGAAGTACCTTATTTACAACAGTCACCCCACTGAACTTGAAACATGCTTTCATTTATTAACCTCTACCTATCCATCCATCCATCTACCCATTTAGAGGCAGAGTCATGGAATGATCCATCCATCCATCCATCGACAAAGTCTTACCCTGTTGCACAAGCTAGAGCTCACAGCAACTTCAAACTCCTGAGTTCAAGCAATCCTTCTGCCTTGGCCTTCCCTGAAGCTGGGATTACATAGACCCACCACCACCCAGCTAATTTCTCTATTTTTAGTAGAGACTGGGTCTTGCTTTTGCTTAGGGTAGCTCCTGAGCTGAAATGATCCTCCCATCTCAGCCTTCCAGAGTCCTGGGATTACAGGAGTGAGCCACTACACCTGGCCACCCTTTATTTTTAGTAAGATCACCTAAGTATGTTTGGGGCGCCCTCTCGAGATTCCTCCTACTTAAGAGACTTAAAATTAAACCAAATAGATGTCTGATCTTCCAACCAGCATATTCTCATTGATGAGGCACAACTTACAGAAGCTATTATAATATGTAAAATTAATCCTTTTTATATTATCTTGTTTTAATTCAATAGTTTACCAAAAGTTTTCTAAATAATTTAAATCAACTTTCTCCAAAAAGAAAAATTCCTCACCTGTGGTTCCAGAATGAACAGATAATGACCTTTCTATCTGGAGTGGTGACATCATCTGTATTGTCAATTTTGCTAGGTAGATGGCTTCATATTCCTAAAAAAAATTTTAATTACTTGAATATATTAATCATTTACATTCTTGGATACCCAGTGATTAATGTGCACATAATTAGTATTCTTATTTTACACTGAAAAATCTGGTACTATATTACTGTGGAAGAAATGGAGGTTTAAAATTCCTGTCTCATAATTTCACAACCACTAATCACTATAAATCAAGTCAGGCCAAAGCATTCACTAGGGGACCCCATGCTAAACTGCCAATGTATCCCCTGCCACTGGGGCATTTGTTAAAAAAAATAAAAAACAACCCAAACCCCAAACTGGCAATCTCAGAAGTCCTCTGCTTTCAGTTAAAGCTAGAGGAATAAAGGCATTTTTGTTCCTCATCCCTTTCCAAAAACACAGAAAACATCTGATGGAACTAGGAAACACCCATAACCCTGAATATGAATCGAAGAGTGAGAAAAGTAAGGAAGTAATTACCAGATAGGTCAGGATAGTGGTTATTACCATAAAAGGAGACAGCTGTACTTGGCAAGCGCCATCAAAAGGATTTTCAGGGCACTGATAAACATCTAACTTCTTGACCTAGGTGATGGTTACATGGACGTTTATTGACATTTTATGCATTTTTCTATGTGTATCATATCCTAAGATAACATTTTTGAAAGCTAGAACCATCCTAAGTGAGACTACAGAAGATGCCTGCCCCTGCAGGTTATTAGGCAGAGCAGGTATAGTTCAGAGTTCTCTAAAAAAGGTGGCAGACCGAAAGTAAAACCAAAAAGTCCCAAGTAGGAAGGCTACAGGAGGCGGCAGGGCGCACTAAGGACAACGTAAACACCCACTCCTCCACTTCTGTAAGAAGCACCTCGTAAGTATAGAAGGGGGAAGAACATGCAGCCAAGATCAACTCACCTTGGACAGCTGACAATAAAGGCTGGGCAGGGGATTCTAGCCTGGCTTGCCATGAGAATCACCCAAGGCACTTTAAAATACACATACCCGGCATGGCGCCTGTGGCTCAAGCGGCTAAGGCGCCAGCCACATACACCTGAGCTGGTGGGTTCAAATCCAGCCTGGGCCCGCCAAACAACAATGATGGCTGCAACCAAAAAACAGCCGGGCGTTGTGCCAGGCACCTGTAGTCCCAGCTACTTGGGAGGCAGAGGCAGAAGACTTGCTTGAGCCCAGGAGCTGGAGGTTGCTGTGAGCTGTGATGCCACAGCACTCTATCCAGGGGACAGCTTGAGGCTCTGTCTCAA